CCAAACTTAATCACTACGCCACGGGGCTGGCCCCAAGAAAATGTCTTTTATTAGACTCCCTACCTTAGGTAGGGCCTGGACTTCATATCTTTTTATTGTGGATGTTTGTTGAAGCTGTAAATACTGAAGTTCAAGTTCATGCTTGTTGGCAAATTCCCTTGAATCAAAAGCCAGCATCAGTGTTCTGTTCACCCTCTCTGGATTCCGGCCTTCTCTTAGTTTTTGGCCTGACCTTTCTTTACTTTCTTATTAACTGATACGTGTTGTAATCTTCTTAAATACGTCTATTTTGTCTAGCATTTTTAGTTGTTTTTTGCAGGAAGATTGATCAATGTAAATAGTCTGTCATTTTTGTCAGAAACTGAACTACTCTGACTTGTATTGTCTTAGGACTCTGGGGCCTGGTCAACAACGCGGGCGTTATTCACTCGGTTACCTACAGTGAGTGGCTGAAGATTGAAGCCTATGAGACTGTCCTCAAAGTTAACCTCGTTGGTGTGATGGAGGTGACCCTGAGCATGCTTCCCTTGGTGAGGAAAGCACGGGGGAGGATTGTCAATGTCTCCAGCATTCTGGGAAGAATTGCTTTCTTGGGAGGAGCCTACTGTAGCTCCAAGTATGGAGTAGAAGCCTTTTCAGATGTTCTGAGGTAATATTCTTAAGTTAAACAAAAGCATCTGTTGAGCACTTAAATGTCTTAGGCCCTGTGCTTTTCTTCTTGACATCAGCTTGGGCTGCATCTTCTCCAGCAAGGCTGCTTGAACCTCTAGACTAGGGAGCACCCCTCATCACTGTCCCCAGAGTCCTTAGAGTATAGCTCTCCTGTGGTATGGCACTATGCCATCTTACTTCACTTGCTGAAGGCAGCATTTAGCACAGTGCCTGGTACTCACTCAACCCCTGGTAAGTATTTTTGGAACTGTTTACTGAACCTGAATATTCTGGAATGACCCATGACTTCTAATTTTAATGCCCGCATCGTATTCCATTAATGGTCTCTTGTAGTCTTTGAATACACTGTAATTTTTCTCAGGCCTCTGCTTCTGTGTGTACAATTCCCACTGCCTGGTAGTCCGCTCCTCTCCTTTCTTCACTCGGAAATTTCCTCTTTATTCTTCAAGGCTCAACTGAAGTATTTTCTCCTCGCTGAAGCCTTCTCTGACTCCCTCAGAAAATCTCTCTGCATCTTCCACTCTACTCCTCTAGCCCCTTGAATACCTCTCCTTTATAATTCTTTTGAGTTGTATTGAAATTGTTTGCTTATTTGTTGAACTCACCCACTGTGAGCTTTTTGAGGCGAGGAACTGAGTCTTATTTTCTGAGATTGTGCGTGTACTTAGCACAGTACCTGCCATAAAAATGCTAATTTTCTTTATTATTCCTTATATTTCATACCTCCAGTGTCCAGCACACGGTAGGTACTTAATAACTCTGTTAAAAGAGTGGATAAAAAAGAAAAAGAAAAAAGAAATAAAATAGGATGTAGAATTGAAGTGTTATGGTAGTTTGTGTAATCATGTCCCAATTCTTGGACCTAGGGATGTTTAAAATTTTATTTTTTTTCCTCTCCATTTCTTTATCCTTTAAAATATTCAGTAAAAGGGTTTTTGTAACCTTTTTTGTTTTGTTTTTCTCCCCCCTGAGAGCATTGAAATCGTGGTGTCTTTCAATTAAAGGAGTTAACTTGAAGGTTTTTTTTCAGGCGTGAGCTTCAACATTTTGGGGTGAAAGTCAGCATGGTTGAACCTGGCTACTTCAGAACCGGAATGACAAACGTGCAGAAGTCCTTAGAGACACTGAAGCAAACCTGGGAAGAAGTCCCCACACATATTAAGGAGAGCTATGGACAGAAGCTTTTTGATGCCCGTAAGCTTTTCTTTTGTTAGAATGATGGGTGATCTTGCATGAGAAGGGGAAAAGAGTGTTGGTGGACAATGACTGACAGATCCTCTGAGAACAAAGCCTTCCCAGGACAGGAGGGGTTTGGGAGGGTCCTAGTGCCCTCATGCTTGGCTTGGTGATAACTGTTGGGGGTGAGGAAGAGGCCTTATAAGCAGCCTAGGTCCAGGGCCCGCCCTGCTTTGTCACCTATGGGCCTGGCCACTTGAGCACTAGGGAGGTATTATGTGGGTAGAGGCAGGGAGCCTCTGGGTCTTGAGAGGGGGTGCCCCTCTGTAGTTTGGCAGGGCTTATGTGGGAGGCCTTCTCAACTAAAGTGCAGTCTTCAATACTGTCTTCCCTTTTGGTACAAGGGGCCTAACCACAAGTTGCACACCTTATTTTGAGAGGAAGGAGGGTGTAGGTGGGGAGAGGTAAGTAGGTGAGGACCAGAATGGCCATTCCCAGAGACTGGACCTCATGTACAGGCCACAGGAGCCTCGTGGGAGTGAGATGGTTCAGTTCCACATAAGAGTGTCATTCGGATGACCTGGAGGACGAGACAGTTAGGGGGCGGAGGCAAGGCAGTCCTCTTAGTAGAAGTAAGTCATGCATGCTGTGGTGTGGGGCTGTACCTTCCTGGGGGAAGGGATGCTCTTTTCTTCACACAAAGAAGACAGCAGCTTGCCAAGGCCAAAGGGAGTGGCTCTCTCTTCCATTTCACTAAAAGGTCTTGTGGTGGGTAGCAGCAGCCCTGTCGCTGGCTTTGGGTGATATTGCAGTCCAGAGAGAAGGAGAAGGGGAAGGTGCAGACAGAAGATTCCCGACCCACAGCCCTGTCTTCTGGGTACATCAGGCCTAAGAGGGTCACCACCAACAGAGGGGAGAAAAATTGGATCGAGGAAAGGCTGACAAGAAACTCTGCCTGAGCCTCTCAGAACTATGGGAAGCTAGGGAATTACAGTTCTCAACATGCCAGAGGTCCTGCCCTTGTTCCTAAGTTCTTCCCCACCTAAAGTTTTCAACTGTCTATTAGGGAATTTTCTTCCCTTTGTGGGTACATAGAGGTTTGACAATAGAAATCAGTAGGAAAATAGAATTTACTAAAAAAGTGACTGTATGTAAAAGGAGAGATGTATGTATTTCATGATTTAAAAGGAGTTGAAATTGTTCATATATTTGTCCATGGATCAGAATAATCTAGATCAGGATTGTCCAATGGAAATATGAGAGCCACATATGTAATCTTAAATTTTCTAGTAGCCACTTTAAAAAAAGGAAAAGAAACAGGTGAAATTAGTTTTAATAATATATTTTACTTAATCCAATATATCCAAAATACTGTCATTTCAACATTTATTATCAATTTAAGTTATTGATAAGATATTTTATTTTTTTTTCTTATTAGTCTTTGAAAATTGTTGTGTATTTTACACTTATAGCACATCTCAACTTGGACACTAAATTTTCCTAGGAAATACTTCATCTGTATTCAGATTAATAAAAGTTATAGTTGCCAGCAGCATTATTCATAATAGCCCCAAAGTGGAAACAACTCAAATGTCCACCAGCTGATGAATGGGTAAACAAAATGTGATACAGCCATACAATGGAATATTATTTGACAATAAAAAGGAATGATGTACTGACACATGCTACAACATGGATGAACCTTAAGAATATTTTGCTCAGTGAAAGAAGCCAGTCACAAAAGACCACAACATGTGATTCTATTTATATGAAATGTCCAGAAAAGGCAATCTGTGGAGACAGAAAGAAGATTAGTGGTGGCCTCTGGCTGGGTGGGTTGGCAGGAAATGGCCGTGACTGCTAATGGGTACAGGATTTCTTTTTGGGATGATGAAAATGTTCTAAACTTAAATTGTGGTAAATGGTTGCATAACTCTGAATATACTAAAAATTATTGATCTGTACACTTTAAGCGGCTGAATTTTAAGGTATATGAATTATATCTTAATAAAGATGTTAGAAAATTTCCAATTGAAAAAGTAGAACATACTTAAAAATTTTCCAATAACAGAATTGAGTTTTAAAATTAAAAATAATTAAAAATGTAAAAATTCAGTTTTCAGTCACACTAGCTGTATTTTAAGTGCTCAATAGCTAAATGTGACTAGTGGCTGTCATATTGGGAAGCACAGTTCTGATTGACATAATCCTCGCAGAAATTAAATGTAGTTAGACTTCTGTGACTGTGTGCAACAGGTTCTTAAAGAATCAGATTGCTGACTACCATTTCTCTTTCTGTATACAGATTACAATCAAATCAAACAAGCGTTGTTGGGTTCTAGCACGGACCTGAACCTGGTCACCGACTGCATGGAACACGCTCTGACGTCTGTGCATCCCCGCACTCGATATTCAGGTGGCTGGGATGCTCAATTTTTCTTCATCCCTCTATCTTACTTACCTACAACACTGGCAGACTACATACTGACTAGATCTTGGCCCAAACCAGCTCAGACAGTCTAAAGAAAACTGGTTTGGTGGCTCTTGAAATGAAGAAGACAAAAGTCTGAAATTGATTGTTAGTGTCTCAGTAATCCTTATTTAGAATCTATGTATTTTGTAACAATAAGCTTTCTTGCCTAAATTCATTTATCTGGTATCATTAGGGAACCAACATGTTTATATTCCAGATATCCAAAGCTTATTCCTTTAGGTGATGAATCTTTACTATTTTAATCATTTTTTGATGAGAATGTTTCCAAAATGCGTCACTCTTCCTTGCCTTATTAAACAGAATAGACTGAAAACAATTTAACTTGTTTTGATCTTATTTCTTTATGTAAATGAATAGCTGTTCTGTGCTGTGATAAACTATTGCTCAGGGACTATTCAGAGATATCCTTACTTGAAATGAATCTGTGATACTTTTAATAAATATTTCATCTTGTGTTCTCCTTCCTATTTGCTGGCTATTTTTGAATATGTTTCTTCCTTATTTAAAAAGAAATGATTTTAGGGGCTGGCCCTGTGGCTTAGCAGTTAAGTGTGCGCGCTCTGCTGCTGGCAGCCCGGGTTCGGATCCCGGGTGCGCACTGATGCACCGCTTCTCCGGCCATGCTGAGGCTGCGTCCCACATACAGCAACTAGAAGGATGTGCAGCTATGACATACAACTATCTACTGGGGCTTTGGGGAAAAAAAAATAAATAAAATTATAAAAAAACCAAAAAGAAATGATTTTAAATCAAAATAATATGCACGTACATAGTTAAAAATTCAGTTAATTCTCAAAAGCTTAAAAATAAAAAGCAACGGTTCCCCACCCTTCATCGCTTTTCCTCAGAGGCAAATGCTTTCAACTTTTAGCTATTTCTTCTGCTGTTTACCTCTATATTTCTTTTTTTTTTTTTTTT